TCTCTTAAATCCCCTCTTGCTAGGGAGATGGTAACGAGGTCAATGAAGTTCATAAGGTCCTTCCTCTACCCAAGGGTATGTAAGCATCCAACAACTGCTGAGAAGACAGACTTTCTGGTGGTAGAGCTGCCCAGTTATCCACGTACTACCCAAGCTCCTAAAGTAGCCTCAGTAAGCTCTGGTTCAGCAGGCTGGACTCAGGTAAGGTGGCCTCTATGATCTGCTCCCTCTATCAGGGATGGGTACAAATAGATTTCCCCAGAAAAAGTTGTGCAATGCTGTGCCTAACTCACGGTGCTGTCCTGAAGGTTAAATAAGTCTAAAACATGGAGCTTTGTATGCAGAGTCCTACCTACATGCATCTACTACTGCTCTTGTAGTCTTTGTTCTAAGCCTCCAGTTAAACTGTACTAACTACTCATGCTTGCTGATTTAACTCTAACACTGTTCAACCCTTTCTCCACTCTCTGTGCTAGTCTCCACTGGTGTTTTAGTCTCCTTGCTGTTCCTAGGCCACACCAAGACTGCTCCCCACCAGGGCCTCTCCACTGCCTATTCTTATTGCAAAAGAAGACTCTTTCTCTAGTATATCTACATAGATGAATCTTTGTAAACTTCAGGTATCTGCTCAAATACCACATTCTTAGTAAGTCCTACCCTGACTGCCCAGTTTAAAATCATATGTACTTCATCACTCTGTTCATTTTCCAAAACAGTTGTGAGCCAACATGTGAGTACTGGGAACTGAACCCAGCTTCTCTGGAAGAGCAGCAAATGCTCTTAACTACTGAGCCGTTTCTCCAGCTACTGATTTATATCTAAATCCATCAACTTCTCTCCCTCTCACCCACACTGTGGTCTAAGTCACCATTATCTCTCACAGGAATTATGACAATATTCTTACCTATTTTTACCACCACCACCTTCCAATATAATCCTATTGGAATACATTAAACACCGAAACTCTTAAAAACTATTCTTGTTCAACTAAAAACTTCCAGTGAACTTAAGGTATAAACTCCTTACTATGGTCAACAAAGGCTCCCATATTCTGCTTCTTATCCACCTAATCAGCTCCCCATTACTCTTGTACAACTCTTCCCATCTCACTCACTATTGGTTTCCCTCTCCTTTTGGGGTCATCTTGTAAGCTATTTCTCCTGGTATACCTTCCCAAAAAGGCTCCCTGCACTCTGGAGCTAAATCAGATTTCCATCTTTACTTTCATAGTACTCTCATCTTTTTTTTTTTTTTTTAATGCCATGAGTGTTTGTAACATGCAAGAAGTAATTTGTAAAATAATCATCAAGAGTCATAGTTTAAAAAGCTGTCAAGGTTAAAATCCTATGTAACTTACTGAACCTCAGTTTTCAAAATTATACCATGGCAGTTGAGAGAATACATCTCATGTACCTTGCATTAACTGGGTACACTGCACAGACACTGCCACACATTATAAGAGGATGATTACATTTTATTTTTTCTTAATTTTGAGTGTGCTCTTGGGCACCTGTATAGTATACATGTATGGTGTGTGCATACAAGTGTTTATAGAGGCTAAAGCATGTATGTGGTATATAAGTGTGGTGTGTATACACAAGTGTGTAGAGGCTAAAGGTCAAGATCAAGTGTTTTTCGCTATGATTATTTTAGTGAGCTGATATAACTTTCTCCTTGGATTACCTGAACATAAACTCATGGTGAAGAAAGCTCTCCAATACGTACAAGGCGAGAGAGGATTTTGGATTTTAAAACTATAGTGGATCACACAAAGCAGATAATTAGAAGCAACTTAAATAGAGGGCCTATGGTATACAAAATATTTTTCTGATCACCTTAAATACTCCAAATCACCCTAATAGTAAATATGACATTTTGCTTTCTCTTTCTCATCCTCTCCTTACCTTCCAGAAGATCTCGGGCCAGCCCTGGCTCTGCACCTGTGGAACGGACAAAATCCGACAGGACAGCATCCATGTCCAGGGTCATGGGATCATCAAGTACTCTCAGGCAGCAGGATGTGAGCAGAACATAGATCAAAATCCAGGCTTCGCCCTGAAAAGAAGGTAAGCGCCCAAGGCTCAAGTAACTAGAAGAGCATCCTCAGAGCCCAATTTCAACAGTTTCTTAACCAAATGGTAAACTAGTCTGGTTCCTTCATTCTAGTTGAATTTTGAAGCAAAGAAGTTTAAAATTTTTAATGAAGAATCACATTTAATATCCTCATTAACAATTATGTCTTGATGCCTACAATAACCACAAACCACTCTGAACAAAGCTTTCCCTCTGCTACTTATTTATTTACTTAAGGAGGGGGGCACTAGGGATTAAATCAGGGGCTTGCATATACTAGGCAAGTTTGCTTCTCCAGTATAAGGAAAGGAGGCAGCAGATTGAGGCCCTATAAAGCTTCCCAACCGGCAATGCTCCCTAACACAGCACGGTGTTCATTTCCTTCCTGAATGTATTTATTATTAAGGGTTTTTAGGTGGGTTTTTTGTTTTTGTTTTGAAACAATGCCTCATCTTGTAGCTCAGGCTAACCTCAAACTTGTAGCAATCCTCCTGCTTCAGTCTCTTGAATGCTGATATTACAGGCATATGCCATCATGCCCTGGCTTTCCTCTCTAGTTATTTTAAACATTCTCTGTCTGACCTTTGATTTTCACATGTCAAGTTTTCAGAAGTAGGAAGCTGTGTGTCTTCTTTACTGATGTGTCACCGGAATGAATCACTTGACACAGTGCATGGCACATTGGCCCTCAGTAGATACTTACTAAACAAATGACTACTACACAGCAGACTATTTCAGTGCTGACTAATGTTCTCATGCTAGCTGAGAAAACAGGAAGAGTAAAGTGAATGCTGAAACCACTCAAAATAAAATAATAGGCTGCTCAGCACACCTGGGTAGTGAGCCCAAAGGCTCATAACAAAACTAACTTCAGGGACTCAGGAAACAGGCAGAATCAGAAGTGTGCCCCCCCCCCAGGATAAATGAATGCCAGGTAAGTTTACCTGAGGTGGAGGAAATCGCTTCTTTCAGACTTCACTTTAGCAGAAACTATGTCCCTGACCTGACAGCCTGACACCAAGTCAACATTCCTCTGTGGTTAACAATCCCATTAGAGAAAGCAAAAGCACAGTGGACAACAACCTCTGACCAAATTCACAGGGTCTGCAGAAGGGGGCTCATTCATAAAGTGCCCAGGTACCCAGCTGCCCCACTGTACCCATCTTCCCATCTTTTGGAAAAGCCAAAGCCAGAATTCTTGAGAACAACAAGTGACTCAGACAAAACATTCCTCCTAAAACCTAAAGCCTAAGAATGACTCCTGGGCATTTTTTTCTTCACTCCTCTCTTTCCCAGGATACAACTGTTTAGTGGTATGATCTGATCCCAATTTTCTCCATTTCTTAGATATAGTAAGGAAATACTTGTGGGTCATAAAAACTTCTAAGTCTCTAACCTGATAACTGCATTGTTTTGTTGTTGGTAGTTCTTTCAATTTTTGTTTTTTGCTTTGTTTTGATTGTTTTTTGTGTGTGTGTGTGAAAGAGAAGTCATTGCTTCTTACAGTGCTCTAACAATACAAGAAATCAGTAGGTACCAGATATGATTTATTCTATCCCAGCCCAACATTTAGCAAGGTATCTGCAATATAGTAGGCAGCAATAAATACCTGCTGAATAAATTCATTATAAACAAATGTCTAATTTTCATCTGCTTCAATATCCTAAGCACCAACCCAACATTCCTCTGAGGTTGTTAACCTTATTCTACCCCAGAACTACATGAAGAACTTCTGACCAAGTTTTCTAAAAAGTGATTCAGTCCCTTGCAGCTTGTGCTTAAGAATTTAACTTCAAGGTAGGCAATGGTACATGTCTGTAATATCAGCACCCAAGAGGCAGAGGCTGGAAGATTGAGAATTCAAGGCTACAATGAAAGACCCTGTCTCAAAAATATAAGAAAAGAAAATTAAATGCACTCAGAAATCATAGGTGAATGAAAGGCTTTTCATCTCCTAATGCAAGTAAGAATTCTCTCCAAAGCCCATTGCGTTCACCACTTTAGTCACAGGACATGGGAACTGCCTAGTAACAACACATAAATAATCCAAAATCAAGAACCTAACTCCAAAATGAACTTCAATCTTCGCTCTTAAAAAATAAAATAAGACTAATGAGTATGGTGGCTCAGGTCTTTAATCCCAGCTCTCAGCAAGAGGAGGACAGATCTCTGTGAGTTTGAGGCCAGCTTAGTCTACACAGTGAGTTCCAGGACAGTTGGAGCTATGAGACCCTGTCTCGATAGATAGATAGATAGATAGATAGATAGATAGATAGATAGACAGACAGACAGATAGATAATAAATAGGTAGAGATAGATAATAAATAATAAATAAATAAATAAAACCAGGTAAGCCACTTTAACAACCTTTTGAGAGGATGTAGGAAAGACACAAACAGCACTCAGCAAAAAGAAGATCTGACTAAGCCACAGGCACGCAGACAATTTCCAGCCAGACTCAGACTCCTGAAAGAGAGAAGCAAATGAAAACCATAGGTGCTGTGGCATCTGGGATCTCACAGGGTAACAGAAGTAGGTCATTCATTTCAAAACATCTAAAATAAACAAATAACTCATATCTGGAAAGACTGGCTCTTCAGCAAAAATGTGAAGCACCAAAGCAAACTTCTTGGCAGCACACTCTTGTATTTGATTCTCCAGGTACATGGTATGAACTTTGCCCAACAGGTAAGGACAGCCGCTCTTGTTACATCACCACAACACCTGCCTGAAGCTTCTCAAATTCCTAATGGGATATCGAACCAATGACAAAGACTCAGTCTATCTCTTTCTCAGCACACAGGAAGGAAAAACCCAAACAAGAAAACAAAACCCTAAACTTCAACTTTTCAAATAAAGGGAGGCACTCAGTCTTTGTTGATTGTGTGTATAGACAGATTCAGACATCAAAATCATCCCGTTTCCTAGTAAAGGGGTTATCACCAATTACTCAGTCCAGTTTCCAAGTGAATGCAACCTTTGACAGGGAGCTCATCACTTTCAGCTCCAACTGTTACAGTTGTTTTCTTCTAAACAAGAGTCAAGCATATCACCAGGACCCTCCCCTAATACTGTTTGCATAATGGCTCTTATTCTGGTCTATAGAACAGCAAAATTAACAATGATGGACTTTTCAATGGAAAAATATTAAATCATTACTTTACAAAAATACTCTTGCAGCCCAACATCATGACACTGTCATAAGGCAGTCAGTGGCATTTATTTTATAAACCCTTTCCCTGGATCAGTACTTGCTTGTACCTGTATTCATTTATAAATGTTGGTGCTGACCATAACTACAAACTCAGCATGCCACATAAATGAAGTATCTTGCTCAAATTCAATTCTGCCTCTTACCCCTCCTTCCACTTCCATGCTCTTGAAGTGAAGACAGAAACCAAGAGCTAAAAGGAACAAGTTAATATTCTCAGTAGCAGAGCATTCACCCGCACACAAAAGGCCTTGATTCCTAGCAATACCCCCACTCCCCACTGCCACATACTACCTTATTTATTTACTCAACAATGAAAACAAAAAGCCAGATGGAAAAGCATGTCTAAACCTAGAAAGTCTGAACCCATGTCTTCCTGCTAGATCCCACTGTTTCAAAAGGAATTAAGATTGCACATATTCATGTCACTTTATTTCATCCCTGCCAGAGAGGGAGCAGCAAACAAGAACTGGTTAAAGGCCTGTGGTTTTCTCCCTTCAAGTCTTACCATTTCCAGAGAAATTTCAATGCTCAGCTATTATCTGCCTCAAGTCTAAAAATTTTCACCTTCATTGCAACAACTCAGATGCAGACCCTGCCATGTCCTGAAAGCATTTCCCCTGGCAGTCTTAAAATTCAGCATCTTACTCTACAATTTCATCTTCATTTCATTTTGTTGTTGTTGTTTTAAAGACAACGTCTCTACACAGCCCTCAGTGGCCCAAAGCTCCCTCTGAAACCACGCTGGCCTCCAGTTTGTGGTGATCTTCCTGTTTGCTTCCCAGGTTGCTGGGGTTACATGCGCAACTATCACACCCAGCCTCCAGCTCTTCTTTTCCATTCTAACGTACTTTCTTTCTGAGACATCTAATCTCTTAACCACATTATGCATGAGACAATAAAAAGCCCATGGACTGCCAACTGAACATTGGGATACTATGTTCAATAATAAACATGAACAGTGAACTGGACACAATTCCCGTGCTTATAAAACGTCTACACTGAAAAAGAAAAAGTTATAAAGTCATACAGCAGTAAATGCTGGAGATGGCAATGTTACCTCCTGTAAGGAAGGAGGAAAAGCCTCCCATGGCATTGCTGCTTAACTAAGAACAGTGAACAACTGGAGAGACAGACTAGGACAGAAGAATGCTCCAAGGCAAAGAAGCACATACCAAGGCACTGAACCACAGTGAGAGCGGCAGAAAACACAGAGAGGATCTAGTAGACCCTAAAGATGTTTCAGATTTTATTTTAAAAGTATGATAAGCACTGATGTGTCATGAGCATAGGTGGAAAATGATCAGAAATTAGTTATTAAAATAGCAGACTGAAAGGTTTTAAAGACTTTTGTTGTTGTTACAAGCATACTGATTAAGGAGGGAGAACTGAAGTTGCATAGTGGACTTGGGAAAATATTGCTAGAGATATGATAAACTAAGAAAACTGGACACATTCCATTTGTCCCTTCTTGGACAACCGACAGTGAAATCAATGACTTATCATCATTTACATAATTTAACTTGGTGAAAAAACCTAGTTTATTTTTTGAAGATTTACTTACTGTCTACATGTATGTATATATAGTACTGCATGCATGTCTGGTGCTCACAGAGGCTTAAAAAAATGATACTAGATCCCTGGAAAATGGAATTATAGATGGTTGTGAGCCACCATGTGTGGATGCTGGGAACAAACTTAGGCCTTAGCCACTAAGCCATCTCTCCTGCTCAAAACCAAGTTTCTTTATCCTTCTGTTTTATCGACCCAA